TAAAGCCTCGTAAGGATTTAATGATCATTTTTGTTAAGGGCAATGCTGAATGGTTGCTGTTCAACGTGACTGTGCGGCACATGACAATTTGTCGAAGAAGGAGAATCGAGGGTCGAGGTAAACTATACAATCCTTTTTTAGGAAGTCACATTTCTCCAGACTGTCCTGAAAGATGTTTTTCGGGCGTAGCTCGGTTTGATTGATCCTTCCGTATTTCGTTTGCATGGATGTTGGTATATCGTCATCACGTGTGCGTGACGTGGCACTATACTCTTTTATCACACTAGCTATCACTCACCCACCTTGCATTTGCAGGCCACAATGTCCATAGGCACTATACTCTTTTATCACACTAGCTATCACTCACCCACCTTGCATTTGCGGGCCACAATGTCCATAGGCACTATACTCTTTTATCACACTAGCTATCACTCACCCACCTTGCATTTGCAGGCCACAATGTCGCACAATTTCCACTGTGACAGAATGTACCTGCGCCACTGCCTGGTTTTGCTTCACGATTCACAAAAGAAGCTTCACTTTCTCAACTCGATGATCACTGGAGATGAGAAGTGGGTCCTCTACGATAACCCTGTGAGGAAGCGGCAGTGGGTCGACAAAGGAGAACAGCCAGAAGCCACCCCAAAGGCCGACCTTCACCCCAAGAAGGTTCTCCTGTCCTGTTGGTGGTCCAGAAGAGGCATGGAGTACTGGGAGCTGCTGGAGAAGGGACAGACGATTGACGCTTCCACATACGTGACCCAGCTGCGGAAATTGAAAGATCACGTCGACCGTACTCGTGGAAGGAATGCGGAAATCTACTTCCACCATGACAACGCCCGACCTCACACTGCAAAGGCGACCCAGGCCGAGCTGGAGAAGTACGGATGGCTGATGGTCGCCCACCCTCCCTACAGCCCTGACCTCGCTCCTTCTGACTACTGGCTGTTCAGCCACCTGCAGCGCTATCTGGACGGAAAAAAGTTCGAAACAAAGGATCAGGTCAGAAAGGCACTCGACGACTTCTTCAAGTCCCAGCCCCGTCGTTCTGGAAGGAAGGAATCGACAAGCTGCCTGAGCGCTGGCGTCGAGTAGTGGATGGTGATGGTGCATACCTCTAATCTTCAGGTTGGTTCGCTTTTGAGATATTTACGAAAAAAATCGTGGCCAAGAACTTATGCACCAACCTAATAGTTTGATGATCACACATTTGCCATAGAATAGCAATACTCCAAATTGATTATGTATCTAGTTTTCAAAGTGATCGAAACTAACATGGAGAACGGCAGATTCGCCCAATTCTTCTACTACATTTCAAATTGGGCAGGAAAGCTGCGGTGACAGCTCGTGATGGTAAAAAAGGGCAAAGTGTTTGGTTCTGAAACGTCAAATGAACTTACTGCGAGCATGAGAACTTTCGCACTGACCGTGAGAGCCTTGAAGATGATGGGCCGCCATAGTATGTTAAAAGGAGCAGTTAAGAGCAATAGTCGCAGATTATCCGCGTACAACGTGTATGGATACTACATACTACCTTTTTGGGTTTAAAGGCAGTTGGAACGATAATTCGGTAATCGGTTTAAATGCTAGTAGGGCGCTATATAGTGGGGAAATGGCGAAAGAACGGAGTGAAACGGTCAAAATCCTGCGAAGAAAAACTCCGTTCTCAGTGACTTGTAAATCGATTTCGGACGAGTTTCCCGTAGGCATCTTGCCAATCACCGCTACCGAAGATACGGCTGCATATGTGTACCCATGTATGCATGCATCACGGCCGCTTCATACCAATCCCTTCGCTTCATAATTTGCTTAGCAAATGAATGAATACGAGCGTCAGGAACGGTCGTCCATTTGTGGGCGGGCGGGCGTGGCGGGCGTTTGGGACGTAATGTTGTGGCTTGATAGGGGCCCTTATAAGGGCACCTTCCCGCGGAATTCAATCCTGCAGGAGTATCGATGTTAGTCGTCTTGGGGGATTTATCGTGCCAACTGCCTTTAAGGTCTACAGAAGTGCCGTTTCGTCGTTATATGGTGCTGAGCGCTGGCCCCCCACCAAAGACTGAAGCCCTTCTCAGTGGGATGGGAATATTGCGTTAGGCGGCGGGCATCACTCGTTTGAACCGCATTTGTAATGATGTAGTACGCATGAAGTTCAGTATGTCTCGTAGGACTGACAAAATGCGAGAAGCGCGCCCTCGATGGTATGGCTATTTACTTCGCTGATAGCGTCTTAAAGACCAACTTCTAGCTTGAAGTGCCCGGAAAACAGCCCAAGAGATGTCCCAAGCAGCGTTAGCTCGATACACTGCATACAGACTTAAAAATACGATAGAACCACCCCAGCATTTACTCGGAGAAAGGCTCGTCATTTCAGAAGAGCCCTGGACCCTGCTACCGATTAGGACTAACGCTAAAGAAAAAGAAGAAGAACGTTTATGGGTACTGTTTCAAAATTTGATTTCGAGTGGGTAGTGTGTGCCTAACATTAAAATTAGAAGGTCGAACAATCTCGACAAATGGCTGCCGCACGTATTGAGTCAGGAAGTAGGTCAGTGGCCGGACAAGAATCGAGCACTCCAGCATTTCATCGAACGCACCTCAGTATTTCATTAAAAACAAAGTAGCACGAAAGAAAGTTATGATTATGACTAGGCAATCTGCAACTCCACCGCGTTTGTGAATCCAGTCGTGATGGTGACAGCTAGGAAGTGCTGTTAGAAGTTGACGAGCTACATCATGAGCTTCAGCTCGGGAGCCTGACACTGGTCAATAGGAAGGTGCCGACTCTACCTCACGAGAAAGCTCGACTCCATGTCGCACGAACTTGAACCAGGTACGCTTCAAAACTCTGCTTGATACCACAATTTCCCTCGACCTTGCCCCCCCCCTGGTTACCATTTCCTTATACATCTCGACAGCTTCATTGGAAGAAATGCTTCAGAACCTCATCAAAACCTACAGCGGTAATCGCCCGATTCCATCGCCTCCATTTCTCCGTACTTCTGTGCAAGCGACGCTGGTAGCAATAGTTATTATGATGAACAACCATGTTTAATTTATGCTGATGCATAAGCCATGTTTTAGAGTGTTATGTTTATGTTTATGATCGTTTATGTTTTATTACGCTGCCAAAAAGGCAAACGTGAGAAAGCAAAATAAAAGCCACTTAAATAGAGAGAAACTAACAGAAGTTCCAAGGCGAGATGAACGATACATCAGTATCCAAGGAACAACTTCGCTCAGTATCCGAATAAAATTAAGAAGTGATAAAAAACTCAACAAGGCAACTAATTTGAAATCTGACAACAAGGCGATAAGAAGTGCTCAGATTGACCTCAATTCGAATTTCAATTTGAGGTCGGAAACTCGGAGAACTCCCTCAGTACCTGATGCAACGTGCAGCAAGTTAACGAAGAAAGCACTGACGACATGACGGTTCTAGACTCGACAGGAGCAGGCTCTCAAGACCTTGTAGTCGTTGTTTAGTGCACTGTCCGTTTGCAAAAACTTATAATAATTTGTATGTTTCAGAAACATGGCTCAGTCAATGTAGCGCGAGCATAATCTTCTGAAGATCATTGAGGAGTCGACGCCCAAGAAATCCGTATGAAACCACAAGTGAACGAGGGTGGTTTAACAGAGCCTGCTGTAAGAAAATCCCTACTGTTTCAAACTGTAAACTCAGTCTACTTCTGCTCCCCCATCGCAGAAAACAGCGGACCACTCGTTTGGCACGTGTTGCTCTGGTCTGTTTCAAAAGATTGCCCTCAAGAGGACCAAGAACAGTGACGTCCCCTTGGGATTTTCTGGACATTACAGACGACCTTAAAGACTGGCATAACATGGTTGCTTAGGAACATCATCCTTCTCAACTCTATCAGAATAGCGAGACATTTGTTATTCCCAGTGGGGTGCGGCGACGAGATAGCAGTTATTTATTAATGCAGCTGTGGTTCCCTCTGAAGTGCAAGAATCACAAGCAATCTTCACACAACATGCAGGAAGTGTGTAATGCACGCTTGACTTTCTAGTAGGCTCTGTTCCCTACAAAAAAATCAGTTGGCGCAGTTCAAATAACCATAGGTATCGCTTGGACCAGGTTAATCAGAAATGTGAGAGCTGTGATATTAAGGCATAAAAGCCATGAGGTTGAAAGGATCAAAGATGGCCAGGTGGTGTAAGTCACAATTGCAGTTCAATTCGGTGGTGATGGTTGTCATGCTTTCCCTCCGCAAGGCGATGTGCCCTTGCTGCTATGATTAGCGCACCCCCTCCCCTCCACCTCCACATAGAGCGTGAGGTTCAAGCCCGCCTGAAGTCATGCTTCTTTCCATAACTCATCCGCTCATTTGCTTTTTATGGTAAGTACAGATCGAGTTTCAAGCCTTGGTTATTTCCTTAATTAGGAGGCCAGTTAGCTAAAGGTGAGGTGCAGAGCGTTACTTCCGTGGGGGTGTTGTTACTTTACAAGCTGCTCGAAATAGCACGCTACATTCACGTCAGTTGAGTTGACGCTCTGCAGCGCGTCCACTCAATCAAATCTTGGTGCAAATGTCGCTGGCGTGCCTGTCTCCTTTTTCACTGCCTTCGCCGCAAGGAGGAATTGAAGATTATCCCCTTGACTGGATGTGGAAGGCAAAATCGTGAGCCCCGCTCAAATGGGCGCGCAGCCGCTGGTGCTAATCCAGGCCGAGAGTTGGTTTTCCGTAGCTGTTCTATATCATGGTCTGATCAAGCCCGAGGATTTTCCTTTCTCGCGAGCTTCTCGCGTCACGTTGGAACACGTTGCTGGCGCATCCTAACTTGAGGTCCGCGCTTTCTTTTTCCTTAAAACTGAGAGGCACTGCGTCCTTGAACAAAGTAGTGTGGTTTATTAGGTTGTAAAGAAAATAGTAAACAGTTCAGAAACCCCTTGCTCATCTGGAGACGTAGCCTAACGCGACATAAGGGAGACTATGCCGTCCGGTGCATCATAGCCAGCGTAACACAGTCTGCGTTTGGACTTAGGGCCCAATCGCCGCGTGATGGCGCGCTCATCAAGGGGATGAGTCGACATGGCATCTCAGAACGGAGTGATTTAGCGGTATCAAATAAAACCCAAATTTTGAAGACAAGCAGATTATCCACCTCCATGAACGGCGCTTACCGTGCGCCTGGTGAACGGACCCACAAGTACAGTAGTGTGCCACTTCTTCAGCTCATAAGTGAACGAAGCTGTTGGGTAATAATACCCGGAGCCGTTTCCATACTCGGCCCACACTGTCCTCATTGTGCGGACGTGGCGGGTGGAAACCGCACCCAGGTATCGCTACCTTTGAAACCCGTTCTCGTCTTTTTCTGAGAAGAGAACTTGGCACGCTACTGCAGCTTCAAACCTATTTTCACCTCCCACCTGGAAAGGAGCAAAATCCGCGGAAGAGAGTGTACGATTTGTCTTCATAAGAAGTTTTCCTTCTGTAGAAATACATTCTCAAAAATACCGTTGAAATATTGTGGTAATTTTCCAGGCTAATATGATACTGAAGCAATTGGAAAGAATGCTCAACTCACTGCAAAGTAGGAATCCTTCGGAGGTTGGGTAGCGTTCACAATCATTTCTTCTACATTCAGAAGAGGAGATGCCAGTGCAACCGCGCAAAACTGAAAGAAAATCGGTCAACTACTGAGTGCTGTGCCCTACCATACCTACAGTCCTCATCATTGCGGACCGGTGGGGCGTGTCAGTGCGGCTCCGTCTTCCGCGGTGATGAAGTCGTTCTGCACCAGTTGTTGAAGCGGGCAAGTGACATTACTGTATTATATCCTTCGTATTACTCGTTTTCTACCACTTTTTGTCGCATACGCGTTTCAACAAAAAAGGCTGAGAACGGCTTCAACAGTGTGCGCACTCCTACTGGCTGACACGCCCCACCGGTCCGCAATGATGAGGACTGTATAGAACAGAGATATTTTTGAGAGACGATAACACACAAGTGCTGGTTTGACAAATGCTGTCGTGATATTGGTGAAGAATGTTCAGCTCCCAATTACGCCTTGAAAGGACCCTATTTCCGGGGTACTTAAAATTACATTGCTTTTCGATAGCGTCAAATGTGAACTGTTCTCAACCAATGGTAACCGCTTCCAATAGATATTAGGTCATCCCATTCAAAAGTGCAGAGATATAGAGGAATGGCAGAAAAGCAAAGGGGATAGAGCAGCGGGCTACTATACCATTTGGAGGCTAGTACCTTTAGCTATGTATCTGTGAAATTTGGCGAACCTACCCACAGAAGAAGTTCTCGAGAAATTGAAAAGAAGCCTGAGTGGTGAAAATCAGCGCCGGATTTTCAAATCAGGCGTCATAAGAGGGAAGTGCGCTGCTCAAATTTGACCTGCGCCGGACCAGTAGTTGTGTGTAATGGTGTTCTCGAAATACAAGGTGGAAGGTTTGGTTCAGGAGCCCGAAGAAGGAAGAAAGGAAAAATTTGTTGTTGTTATCGGATGGTCCCATAATGTTCATCCTGCACAAGAAAAAGGGTGGATGAAGTCAAGCGCTGAATGTCTGATCACAGAGCCTGGACCTTTGTCGAGCTTGCTCGCGAGACATCCCTACTGCAACTGCTTCCCGAGTTATGTCCCGATAAACTGAGGATGTCAAGAGAGTATTCACAAGGGTACCTAATTTTCTTGTAGAAGCACGAACGCAGTACCGATTCTATGCCTCTAGCAGTAATGTTCTCAGCATGAGATGTCATTCACGACTGTGAAAACGCACCCCGGCCCTAGATGAAATATGGGTGGTCTTGGACCTCGAGCCAAAACTCACAATCGTCAATTTTGTATGAATGCAAATGAGAAGCCGCCCGAGTTCTACCATGAAGAGTTACGTGGGCGCAAGTGGATGATCATCATAGCAAAGGATTCCCACACTGTGGCTTCAAGCGGCTCTATACAGAGAACAAATCCGTCACTGTCGGTGCATATTGCCTGTTCCTCGGCATTCAGATCGACAAATGGATGCTACCACACAACTACAAGAAGGCCACCGTTGCTCGTCATAGTGTAACTGTATTGTAGGGCAGTGCTGGGACACAAACAATACTGAGACCTGGGTTCAATCGCCCCATTCGCCCAAATAAAGCCGTTCGATTCCAACTGTTCTGGTCAGTCGAGAGTACTCTCCGACGGCAAACGCTACAATGTTTTGTCATTCGCCGAAATTGGCATCAACAGCAATTTACTCGCACTTGTTGAAAAATCGAAGGTACCAGAGGTCCAAAGCTTTCGGGGCACTGGGAGCGGGTCATTGGTGAAGGAGGGATCTACTCAACTCGAGCCAAAATATTACTTTTCTATCTGTTTTCTCTTCGTTTTATATGAATAAGATCTTCGGTACTTTTGAATGGGATGACATAATATAGGTTGGAAGGAAAGTCCTGTCAGTGTTTTTTAGATAGCCTACAGTTTTTGATCTTCGATGCTCGAACATGACGTAACATGCTATGGTTGTAGAACATTCTCGAAGCTTTTCTACGAAAGGTGTATAGAAGCTCCTGCTCTTCCCTGTGTTTATTTACAATGTCAGTTTCGCTATAGCAGCT